AATTGCCTACTTGCAATAAATGCTCAGTGTTTCAAGAAAACGAGGACGTTGATGGATAGACAGCCGGTAAAAGCGTTACATACTACGAGGCTTGTGACAGGGACCTAAAGAGAGCCGCGCCGGGTCTACCGTTGTCTGAAGAGAAGAGTATCGGCATTTCGCTAGCAAGTCCAAGCAGTAACTAGTCGCGCATCGAGGGATTAGCATGGGGACACGTGCTTATTCCCGTGTTTTAATGAAGTGCAACTTTTGAAATAAGATCGACGTAGGTTCGACGCTTGCTATCACGCTGGAATTAAGTCGACTCTGCGTCGCACCTATTTTTAATTTATTCGACGCGACTTGGATTCGACGTTTGCCCTTGGCCTAACTGAGAAGTACAATAAAGTTAATCAATTAAGATTCAGAAATTCACAAGACACTCACTTTTGGGCCTCAATTTAGTCAGAACACTCAAAACTGTCAATGGAGACTTAAAAGTGACGTCATCACAGTGAACTCTCCAATACGGACACTTCGCTCTATCACTTCGGTGTCCGTATTAGAGAGGTTCCGGACTGTAGGTTCCTAATTAGGTATTACTATGTAAAGGAGATATAGTTGCTGATTACCAGAAAAATAAATAAACTTGGATTTAGTCCTTAAACATACAGTGTATTTATTCACAACTGTATTACGTATTTTCTTGTAATATAAATTTGCAATCTTAAAGTCGCAGACCGTTAAAGGAGCTCAGTAATGGTTTGTACATATTGAAAAGTTTAGCCTCAATTTTTCCAATTCGTCGTTTGTAATCCGTGTCNTTTCTATCTTATTAAACTGTTATTTTCAGGTTTCCTACTATTTAAAGGTAATTTTGTATGTGGCCAAAATCTCTTGACTGAGCCCCTTTAAAATGTTTATCATTATTTAATTCTAACCGACAAATCGAGACATGTAAGAACCTGCTTGATCTTGCTTGGCTAAGCAGGTTCTTATATTTTTGCGTATTACTCAAATGGCAAATTTCTGCCAGCAGGTTCGTAAACCACAAGGTCCTTGCACGCGGGTTTTACTGTATTTCGTTCTACACGAACTTACAAAGACTTACTTATTACAAATACGTTTTAAAACGTTGGATCGGGTGTTGCGTAATTGAATGAAATCCGGTGCCATTTTTGTCAAAAGCTGCTGTCTAGGACAGAGTGACCTGCCTTTGCTAGCCCCTACTAAAGGCGAAAGTGTGATAGTTCGCTGAGCCCACATTAGCCGTTTTTATACTTAAGACACATCATCCGTCTGGACGAACTTGGGCAAACATTTGTAGTTCGTCTGGTTATGCGTCTCTAGTATAAAGACGGGCACAAGACATATTATGCGTCTAGACGAACTATCTCTCGTAGTGCGTCGTTCAAGACGCATTTTGAAGGACAGTTCGTCTAGACGCACGATGCGTCTTGTGTCCGGCTTTATACTAAAGATGTATAACCAGACGAACTGCAAATGTTTGCCCAAGTTCGTCCCGACGGCGTGATGCGTCTTTGGTATAAAAACGGCGAGGACACATTATCCTTCTGAACGGATAATGCGTCCTCCAGTACAAAAACGGCCATTGACTGTGATTGACTGGCTTGCGGTTGGATACCAAAAATATGCATATTCGGAAGTTGAATGTTGAACTGCGTGAACTTGAATGTGTAATGCTTCAAACTACAAAGTTGAATCGTGAAAAGACAATGTTAAATCGACAGCAGCAGGAACCCATCACCAGGAGCGTGTAACTACCCCATATTCCTGTCACGGCGTTTCCACAGACCGGTCTATTTTTAGTTTGGATTTACCGCGAATTCAGACTCCCGCAGGAACCTCAGAGACCAATCACTAGCACGGAATTTTTAACTGACGTCGTCCTTTTACCCGAAGATTAAGTCGACAAGTCTACCTGAGGCCGCCATTTTTTCCTTACCGATGTGCGCTCATGTAGACTGGAACTTAACTGACTTATTTCGCGGGAAAAGAAGCCTAAAAATAGACCGGTCTGTAAAAATGCCGTGACACAGGCTTAGTATGGGAGTTGCACAATCCTAGTCATGGGCTCCTGACAGCAGAAGTGAACAAATTGAACACTTCATCATCATCACCATCAGTCCTTGTTGCCCCCAGTGGGGCATGGGGCCGCAAATTGAACACTTGCATGTGTAAAACTACCATATATAAACTTCCGAAAGAAACGACCCTCCGAACAGAGCGAACCCCCCCCCCCATATTTTCCTCTACTCCATATTTTTAATTCGCCATATTTTCCATACCCCATATTTTCTATACTCCATATTTTCTATACCCCATATTTTCTATACTCCATATTTTCCATACCCCATGTTTTCTATACTCCATATTTTCTATACTCCATATTTTCTATACCCCATGTTTTCTATACTCCATATTTTCTATACTCCATATTTTCTATACCCCATATTTTCTATACTCCATATTTTGCATACTCCATATTTTCAATACTTCATATTTTGCATACTCCATATTTTCAATACTTCATATTTTGCATACTCCATATTTTCTATACTCCATATTTTTTACTCTATATTTTCTATACTCCATATTTTCTATACTCCATGTTTTCTATACTCCATATTTTCAATACTCCATATTTTGCATACTCCATATTTTCAATACTCCATATTTTTTACTCTATATTTTCAATACTCCATATTTTGCATACTCCATATTTTCAATACTCCATATTTTGCATACTCTATATTTTCAATACTCCATATTTTCTACACTCCATATTTTCTATGCTCCATATTTTCAATACTCCATATTTTCTATACTCCATATTTTTTATACTCCATATTTTATACTCCATATACTCGCGTTTTCCATACGACCCCAAAAGAATACTTTGTCTCACCAGCCAATGGTTCTGTGGTTAGCATATTAATAACAACAGGTAAATGTCACTGATATCCTTGCTATTGTTGTAAGGACGCCTGGAGCAATAAACAACATTCACTCCCTTTCTAGTTTATTGCAACAAGAAGTTGTATCGTGCATTTACAACATACAAAGCTCAAAGCCATGTTTTTTGATCCGTTCCAGCTGAATGCACAAAACGCTGAAGAGACAAAAACCTAACTCAAGACCATTTCACTGTAAACAGTTTACAAATAGTCTGTCATAAAAATTGAGCAATTGTACATGTTCAATGTAGATAATACGTCTGTCACAGCAAGCTAAAGGCTGACCCTTCAACAATATAAAAAGAACTGTCACGAATTCGATCCGTGTAGTATGTAGTTCTAAAGGGTAGTTCTAGCGGAGAAAGGAGACAATCCAAATATGGATGGAGATGGAAGGTGAAGGGGGGAGGGGGGCAGTGACGGACGGGAATTCAACCCGAGGAGGGGACAAAACTACGGTGAAATCTCGATTTTTGGAACCTCCGAAGACAAAGAAAACTGGTGTGGGAAATCAAAGGGAAACGATTTTTAGACGAGTTATTGGGAGGTCATATAAATCGAGGGTTCCACAAATCAGGGGTGCTTTCCATTATGCCAGAGCGACCGGTCAGAGAACAGCGGGACTAACCGAGGAAAATGGAACGGCATTTTCCGATCAAACCGGGCCAACCAAGAGGAATGGCTCTCACCATTTTTTTTTTAAATTCCTTTCCCGAATTCCCTACATAAGTGAAATCTACTGGAGAGAATAAGGGCACTGAACGGGTTTGTAAAAATAGAACGACAAATTTAATTCGGTCCAACCGATCAGAGTGGATCACCTTCAGAGGTGGTCCCGAATATTCCGGTTGGACCGAACCGAAACGGGTCTTTACGACCGAAATTACCGGAATTTTTGGCATAATGGAAAACATCCCGCAATTCCAGTTTAAGTATCAAAGCCTAATATGTTCGCCATCTCCAGGCCCCGGCGTTGTGAGATGACTCATATCGTCGTCGAGCCCAGGCTATCTCGAACGATGCGGCGAGCGAAATCTGGGTAGAGGAGCATAGCTTATCATCAGGAGGGAAACGTAAGGAGTTGTTTTAATCTGCGCTATCCTCCTCTGTCATAGAGTTTGTCTTTTCGCCAGATTGTGTTCGTCAGTCAAGGTTGCACACTTCGAAGGAGCGACTGTTTATGTGACTAAATAAACAGTATTTAAAAACTAAACCTCGTTTAGTTTCAAGTGACTACATAAACAGAGCAGAAAGTAAAACTAGATCAGTTTCCATTGTCCATTTTAACATGCTTCAATGAGGCTCACAATATCGTCCACCAGATCAAAAGGTTCGGTGCTGGGCAAGTAACGCTTGACAGGAAATCCTTGATGATTCACTAGGAACTTCTCGAAGTTCCAGGAGATGTCGTTACTCCTGACGGGGGACCACAGGATCGACGGTGCGTCTTGACTGACGACCCCACCGGGGAGGGGACAAAGGGACTACAAGGTATAAATTGAGCATACGTGTTAGAGAATCGATGGAATGAAGCTGTCTGATTCATGATTCATGTCAGATTTTAGCGAAATTTTTTTTCTGAAGTACGAGAGAAAACGAATTCTTAGATCTTTCGAACCTTCCGTTGAAACGATGAAATATAAGCAAATCAGTATATTGAAATGTTGGCAATGTGTGGAGTTGTATTATCAGTGACCTCTTTGCATGTCTGTCTTTTGGGTAGCTATCACTCATCAACTTTTCTGATTACATAAGACACCTCGTCGCCTTTTTACTTCAATTTCCAGTGATTTTGTTCGATCTGCCTTGTACTCAAACCTTGGATCTATAATCTTAACCATAATCAAGAATTTAGATAGCGATGCTTTGTTTGGAGTACGAAGGTTACAACGACAACCCATTCTCTCGCTACGTCTTCAGCGATTCGAGACAAGCCACGCGCAACTTCTACTCGCTCCGCGCTCTCGCGAGGGCGAGAACGCGCGCGCGGAAGGAGACACGCGGATCTTCGCTGTGTTACTCATTACTAGAATGCCTTCTACGTGGGCTAAGTCTGTGTTTACGCCTTCCAGGCTTTCGATCGATAAGTTGTTGAATAACGTGTACAACAGTAATCGAAATAACGAGATGAAATTGTACGAAATTGTAACCGATCCAAGTGATAAATAATTATGTAGTAAATATTTATGTTGACCTTGTACTTTATACGGAAAATATTACATCACGAGAGAGCAAAAGTATAGCTGATAGTCATGAGACATTTTTCAAATATATTCGGGAAATGTAAATTAATAAAACAAAAAAACAAAACAAAGAAAAGAACCTCCTGAAAGGGAAATGGCGAGGTCCTTGTCACATAAAACAATTTCCCGGACTAAAAATTTCCAAAATAAATCTAAAAACAAATCAAAAGAATATTGAACGTCACAGCGTTGCTATTCCTGTTGTTCCTTCGATCAAAGAACTGATCAGACTTAACCCTGGTTATGCAATATATTTAAACGATCAGAAATAAGACCCAGTAATAACCAGTTAACTACCTTCAAGAAAGTGTAGATTTGATCTTCGTTCTTGCCGTTGACTTGGATTTTCTGAAAGAGTGGGAAATTCGGCTGAAATCCGTTGCCTGGTCTGACGCATTTCAGCCCGTTCAAGATTTCTTTGGAATTCGCTCCCGGCTCTTGGTACATAAACTGATTGCATGGAAAAGCCAACACAGAGAATCCACACTTGTACTTGCCGGTCGAAAACTCCTTCATGAGTGCATTCAGGTGAGGGTACTGGAACGTGAACCCTCAGTATGTCGCCACGTTTAGCACAAGGCTAACGTCACCGCGATACCTCTCCAACGAAACGGCCGTTCCGTTCAGGTACTTTGTTGTGAAGTTGTACAGGGATTGGCTTTTATCTTCTGCACAATGTGTCCAAGTTTCTTTTCCTACGTTTGCTGAATAACCAGCAAAGAAGTAGAAAAGAAAAGCGATTACAGAAGAGCGAGTCATCGCGACCTGCGACACTCGGTGAGCCGCTATATGTTATGCAATCGAGTACTAATCTGCGCCCAAACGTATAACGCGTGCGCGCGCGGCAATTCTCCTCTCCTCCATTCGCGCGCGAGAGGAACCTTTTTTGAGCGAGGTTTGTGCGCGCTTTGGCCGTGCGTGTCTTTTGCGGGACACTATCAGGGAAATTTGCTGCGTTTTTGATCAAATCATGCTAAAATGAGTATCTTCTTTCCCGCACAGAATGCTCCAAAGAAGCAAGATAAAGATACTACTTGAATTGTAGCTAGTTTTTGAAGGAAGAGCAAATTGTAATTAGTTTTTAATGATTTTTGCGACACACGACCACAGAATTTAACAACGTTTGCCAGCGTTTTTTCAGTTTAGCATCACAACCTCGTACATGGGTAACCCATCATGTTACTCTTCTTTGTTACTTCAGAGCACTTATGTAGAGTCGAACAAAAATAAAAATAAAAATAAAAATAAAGTACTTTATATATTAAGAGAGGAAGTCACATCAGCCTTAGCTGATTTTCATGCGGGTCCCCTATCCTGGTCAAACTGGAATTTGGAGTGTTCGTTTTTGTGGAGGGAGGAAAACCGGAGAGCCTGGAGAAAAACCCTCGGAGCAAGGCAAGAACCAAAAACACACTCAACCCACATATGGCACCAGGCCGGAATCGAACCAAGCCACAGTTGTGGGAGGCGAACGCTCTCATCGCTGCGCCTCCCTTCTACGCCATTATATTAAGATTTCGATCAATAAATTAGTCTTTTCGTGGTCGAACTCACGAAAGTGTCCCTTTCCTCTCGCATGCACCAACATTCCTTCGAGAAACCTCGATTAAACATTTCATTTCTTTAAATGTTCTGCCCGGGCTAAGCAAGATGGGAAACGTTTTTGGGAGGGCTAGAATGGTAGTCTGCGAAGGATTGAAGAAAACAACAACAAAAACAACAAATAACAGAGCGTCACGCAGCCTCGTTTCCAGGGTCTGAACGAGGTTAAGAGTCCCGATCCGATATAGACAACGAGTAGTCCGTCTTTCGCTTAGTCCGTCGTACGTGACGCGAAAGAAAACCACGAGAAAAAAATGGCCGCGCGAAATCCTTGAGGCGAGGAGCGCGCGAAAGGAGGGACTACCGCCTAAGCCCAAGAGTTTGAATTATGCG